CCCAATTCTGATAATACATACACTGAACACAAATGGATAAACAATCTTTAACAGTGAAGAGGTTTGTTTTTTTTTTTGTCATTTACTAAAAAAGTATCTATGGTAAATGAAGTATAATCATCTCAGATAATACACAATTTGAAAGACAGCTCTTTGGTAACTTCTTTAACATACATATCTCATTCTCACTGGAACAGAACTTCCTTTTCTACAGAATATTTTCAAGGAATGTGTAATAGGTGGGTTGTCTGGTTTAAAAGATCAACACTTTCATGCCTGTTTGAGGCAGGCAGTTAAAATAAAAGTACAAGGACAGCCTGGTGTACGATAGGACATAAAAGGAGCTAAAGATTGCCTGTCTCTGCTAAAGGCATCAAACAAAAACAAAAACACAAGCAAAAGCCTTAAAATGCTCCCTGTGCCAAACAATGTTCAAGAGCCATATGCAGCTTCCTCAGCTGCCAGATTGCAGCTCTAGAAAAACAGTAGCCAAGAGAGAGCTCAACCAACAGTGTGAGATGCCAGGAAATCCTAACACAGAGTGATCAGAATAGAATGATGTTTTTCATGAGCACATTTTAGTTAGCAATCTTCACTAACAAACTTGGAGATATAAAGGAGGCCAAACCCAGCAATCCACAGAGACTGCTAGTGATCGACATCTGCCATGACGGCCTTGAAAAGTCGATGTTTCAACCCAAGTGAGAATAGGAGAATCCCAATTCAGACTCTCCAAAAAATCCTCAGGCTCCCAGAGAACCCTTCTGTCTGAGGCTCACCAGAAACTAAAGACGTCTTTATTGCGATGTGGTCAGGCCATCTTGGGGTCTTAACTGAGATCTGGGCACATCCTAGGGTCTCTTGGGATAGCAGGTCTGGCTGGTCGTGATCGCATTAATTTACTGAGAAGCAGATGAAAACCAGTGCATATCAAAATACATTTGTAATATATTTTATTTATCATTAAAGATAAGAGAAAAGAAAAGAAACAGCCAGGGGAGAGGACAGAGAGAGAGCAAGAGGCCAATAGACCCTGCATACTGATATTCCCCTGGACCACCATGACCCTATGGTGAGGAGACTCTGAAGCTACATACACACCATGGGCTCAGACTATGAGGAACATGGAGAGGAGATGGCAGCTACCTTGAAAGACAAGCTCCTGGGTGTTCCTGTAAGTTGACTGCCGAATGGGAAACTACTGACTTCTTTTCCTGCAGAAGATTTCAGAGAAACTCAGAAAAGGCTGCCATCATTCTGGCGACTAATCTAGAAACATGTACAGTCATGTTTTTCTTTATGTAATAGATCTACCAGGACTTCTTTAAAAATGTACATTAGTGACCTGTTAAATAATATTTTCCACACAACCTCCCTAAGATCAGATATTTAATGTGATATACACAGACTGAAGCAAATATGTGCAATGAGTTTTCTGAAACAGAAATCCATGTTTCATAGTAAGCTTTACTAATATTGGTCTCCTTGTAGTTCTAAAATACGGCAACGCATCGATTTCTTACTCTTATTTAAGACTGGTTAAAAAAAAAATCTTAAATTCTCTAAATGAAGAGTTCATTAGTCTGACCTTTTTATAGAGATGAATTGCCCATTGTTAACATATAAATCCTGTGAATCCACATTATACAATATATAAGTCATCTCTACAGTACTAGAACAGTAAGAGCTAATATCTATTAACAGCACACTATGTGTCAGACACGATAGGGCATGGATCACCACACCATTTTACTTACTTTTCCCCAAAAGTTATAAGGGAGACATTATTACAATCTCCATTTTCAGTTTAATTAAACAAGGCTTGAAACAGTAACTTGGAAAAGCAAGGAAGCTAGTAAGTGGCAGAATGGTGACTCAGGTCCCAGCTCAAGCCATCCCATGCCTGTCTGTCTTTCCGACTCTCTTTTCACAATGCATTCTCAACTGTATATGTAACACAGAGAACGTAGACTTCAATTTAGCAGTAAAGAGAAATATTAGACGGTTCCTAGGTTTTACCAAAATATACTTAATGATCAAAGAAATTTACACATTCTATATATTTTAATGATTCTTTTTCCAATTCTCTTCCTATAGTTCTGCAAGTCTGGTCACCATTTTTAAAAGATAATATTTCATTAAGAATATCTCATCTATTTGAACTCAAAAATCGTAAGTATACGTCCATAAAAGTGCTCTCAGAAAGAACTCTTATTTAAGAGGAAATGCTGAACAAATCCCTAAAATTCGTGAAAGATACACATAAGAAAATTTAATTTTTTTTTTAAATTCTGTCACAGATAGTTCTATTCAAAGAAATGTGAAAGCAAAACTGATGATCAGTTTCATAGTTTTTTCTAAGGTCAGATGTGAAATTTCCACCCTTACTGAGAGTGCCAAAGAAGAATGGGATAGATTCTGTCTGATTCGAACAGTATCAAGTATGGACATCACTTTGACTATCCTAAAACACAAACCAGAAAATGATGTACGGGATCTGCACATGTCATACCCTCGTTTACTTGTGCCTGAGTTGACCTATTTAGGTGTCTCATGAAACATAGACACATTCTAATATTAAAATTCTCTGATATAATTTCCCCGTGTATTCTTCTTTACTAATTTTATTAATGGATACTTGACACTGGTAGTAAAAGTTTTCCTCACTCCTCTAAGTAAGACACTGAGACTTTATATTAAGGTTCAATCAATGCCTCCTTTAAAATAACCACTGTTAAAATAACTTCTTCGTAGACTAAAATTCCAAAACAGTAAACTCTATATAAAAGCTTAGCAAAATATAAAGTTAACATTCTAACGCTACGAAAAAATGTTGAAATGATTTGTTTTATACAGATTCTAAAGTCAGTGATGGGTGAGTGTCAGTCTAAATTCAAATGTATTTTGAAAAATTACTGGAAATGTGTTCACCAAGTTACAAACGTAAGACTTAGAGTTTCTTATTTGTCTCTTACATCAGTTAATACAAGATATAAGATTCCACTTATTCTAACAGAGAGGGTGCACATCTATAGCTTATCTTCACTTTACCCAGAACAAATGCCCATATAATAAATGTTAAATCAATCGTTAAGCTTGTAGGTCATTTGAGCATGTTTTACTCTCTAACAGAAATGAGTAGACTGTGAGGTGATCCTTCCTAGAAGAATCAATTCAAATTTGAAGGGAAGGACATTTAAACAAAACATTTGTTAAAACTTTATATCTGATGTTAAGACAATAAAACTGTAAATAAGACATAATAATTTTTCATATTTATGGTTAATTACAGATGAGTTTATTTTTACTCATCCATACACAGTAAATGCTGTCAAATAATACGTCACATAAACAAAATCAATGGAATATGTGTCCCATATTGAATATTTATATTGTCTTTCAGTTTTATATTAAGTGAAGAAAAAGAAATGTTTAGTGTTTCATTTGTTTTAAAATACCTACCTTAAAAACTATAATGTATTTGCATAAATGTTAATTCTAAAAGATAGTTATAAAATAGTTTCTTGAAATAAAAATTACTATTATCAAAAAGAATTAGCTATGCAATTATTTTTAATTTGCATAATATACTCCAAATAACCAGTTACCAATAATTTTCATTTCCTGTAATAAATACACAAAATATTTATAGGAAGTGTAAAGACCCCAAAGTATACAAAGAAAGTAAAATGAACTAAACTGGACTTATACTTCTAAAAGGAAAATAAATGGAACTCTCTAACTTTTAGGTCTAGTGACTTCACAGAGATTATATTTTCATAAAATGTTTCTTCTAAACTACATGACATAAAATATTTGAAAAGATAAGCAAATGAATTGAGATATAAATTACAAGGCACAAATACCAAAGGCTGAAATATAAACTCTAACCACTTGAAAACCTACCTACACTAAAAACTGCATATATTATTCAAATGTTAAATCAATTTTTAGTGACATTATCTCATGATATATATTTTAAATAAAATGTATTTTATTTTAAAATGAATTTCTGAAGGAAAAAGAACCAATGTATTACTGCAATAAAACTACAGTTCATAACTCAAGATATTTAAATAATGGATGCTATTCAGAAAATGGCATAAAAGGAGACATTAAACAAACTCTAGGGAACCAGTGAAAATATTAAGCAGTTAAGTAACATCTTCAAATATTTTTTCCAGTAAACTCGTTTAGTTGCCTATAAAATTATCAAGTGGAGTGGTTAAAATTTTATTCATAGATCTATTATAAGTGATGCATTGTAAGTTAACTTTTCCTATACTTTTCCAAAGCATGTCAACTTTCCTCATGAAAATCTTTAACGACACATCAGATGTTAACTGTTTGAAAACAGAGATGCCAACACAAACCTCACTTAAAAAAATAATAATAGCAAATGTGAAGAGCAACAGCAGGAGAGAATACACTTTGTCGTCTTGTTAGAGAGCAGCAAATGTGAAAAGCTACAGCGGGAGAGAATACACTTTGTCGTCTTGTTAGAGAAGAAAATGGATATACAAGTATTAATATTAAACACCAAGAAAGCGAATAAAGGGACACAGCAGCTCCCAGAGATATGTCCATACAACAGGCAGCTGCTGAAAGTCACAGGTCATGCTAGTAACACAGCTTTAGGTTCAGTAAGAAAGGTATGTCCCACTATCACTCTTGTACTCATGAAGAGCTACCATCATCATTTTCAAGAAAATATGAAGAATATTAAACCCCAAGAAAGCCAATAAAGGGGACACAGCAGCTCCCAGAGATATGACCATACACACAGGCAGCTGCTGAAAGCCACAGGTCATGCTAGTAACACAGCTTTAGGTTCAGTAAGAAAGGTATGTCCCACTATCACTCTTGTACTCATGAAGAGCTACCATCATCATTTTCAAGAAAATATGAAGATAAAAACAACTAAATTGAATCCCTGCTCCAGCCCGTAAATTGGCATGCATCTCTAATTTGTGAGCATTTCATCACAGCTCAAGGCTTACCTCATAAGACCAGACACACTGAGTCCCACCAAAACGGCGAACACATCTTCCTACTTCCACGTCCTCGTGAGTGGTGTACATTTCTCTGAGGCATTCTCCGATGTGTGGCACCATCCTCCGGAGGACTTCTCGACTGAAGATCATGCCAGGTCCTCCCATGCAGAAGTTCTCCCCGGGCTCCAACCCCAGCTTTCCAAGCTCTTCAATATTTCCCAGACCAGTCTGTCCCAGATAGAGAGGTTTGCTGCTATTCAGTGACCTAAGAAACTCTTCTAACTTGTCACCTATGAAGAGAAAGGCAAGGATCAGTACTTTTCCTTAATCATTTACGATGTACGAAGGGACGGAACAATGTTACGCTTAAACTTCTCGTAAATCTTATATATTTGCAAAGACAAAAAACCTCTTTCAATATTCTATTATTTCAAATGCTAATTTATAGTTAGTAACTAAATCATAATAACATTTTATCAACCTCCAGTTACAGTCACTTTAGTAGTCTAAAACCTTAGCAAGTTCAACATCATCGGGTTTTCTACAAAAGGAGAAAAAAATGGGAGAGGCTTTTAATATATTTAAAATAACAATGAAGTCTCAGAAATATCAAATTAAATATTGATAATTAACACTATTTTGGCATATTCTTAATACCCAATAATTACCTTCTTTCCCTGATTATTGGCTTAGTTTATTGTTTTACTGGTAACAAACTTCAGTCATAGACAACCCCTATTGTTTTGGAAGGTGTTTAAATCAAAATGTCTTGAACTGAACTTGAAAAAGCACACTTTTAGAAAATTCAACATTTTTTGAAGAATGCAACTGGTTTCATTTATAGTTTGTAAGTTTATCAGGAAAAACAATCTTAGAATAAAATTCTGTAGCTGAAACAGTTCAAAAGCATCTTGTATTCCTGAAAGTGATACCTTGGATTAAAGAGACGTCAGTATCTTCACTATCATTTTTGACGAGCATGGCATTTGCAGTCATCTTGATCCCATGCCTATGCCCCAGATCTTAATGAGTTTTAGTTAGCTATTACTAGCGTCTTTATACCACAAGAATTTCATTTTTAGTAGAAAAGTCAAGAACAGGACATTTCAAGGTTCTGAAGGACCACCTTTCACAGCATTAAAACAAAGGGCAGAAGAAGGGCTACACATGCACTTCAGGAAATCCCTGCACAGTGGGGCAGATTTATACCAGGAAGCCTTTCCGATTTCAAACCTTTGTAATGAGATGCCGAAGATAGGAGGGACTGTAAGGTAATGGAGGGATTTTTTTTCTTTGAATCAGTCCTAAAGAGCACCTCTCAGAAATACAGTCATCATCTTGGTATCCAGTCATCCTATTTCCTATTCCAACCATCCCCACAGTGATGTCCTTCCTCCCAAACCGAATCCCAGAAGTCTCTATTAATGCTATGCTATCTCCTCACACCAAAATGAGCCATTTTTCCCCTTTGCATTACATATAATACTATTGTACCTGGATCTGGAGGAAGCAAGGAGGCTACAAGTAGAGAGGCATAAACTAAGGGAGGACTGCCCACCTTCGGCCATCGCTAGGCAACGTGGAAAGCACAGAGGAAGCCCTCGCTTAGTACAATCCTGCTACTTCCCTTTCTTCCCTCTCCAACTATCAACTAGCGGCACTGGAGACATGTATGCCTGTGCTCTAAGGAACTTCAATCCGCAGAGTTCAGAAACTCTCTGGCCAGAGCCACCCACAGTCAGGGGAAAGGACCGCGCTGCTTTTAAAACTGAAAAGAAAGTTTTCTGGTACTGTGGCGGCGTGTGGTTCTAGGAAGGACTTCCAGGCTCGGCTTTTCGCCGCAGCCAGCCACCGAGACGCACCGGCCAGGATGCGATGGCAGTGCGCGCTAGCCCAGCCTGGGGCCCCCGGGTCTGGATAACGGGGGAGGGGGGGGCTTTCCCATCTTCCTGACTATACCGCATGGAATGAGAGGGGCGTCGGGGTGGCGGCAGTGAGGACTTGGTGCTGCACAGGCAAGGCTGGAAGGAACCGCGCGCTGGGGCGGCGGGTGCTCAAGGACTCCCTGCGTGTGGCGGGTCGTGCGAAAGGGAAGGACACGCGCAGGGAAGGAGCCAGACATTAAAAATAATTCCTCAATCTCAACAGTTCCGAAACTGCGCTAGTTGGAACAAAAGAGCAACGGAATAAAGCAAGAACGTCCCCACACTGGCTCTAGCCTGCATGCGCGGTCTTTCCTTCCTCCACGGCGGACACGCCCCTCTGGACCGATCTGGTTAACTACCATTGCCGGCTCCTTCCGAGGACGGCAGAAGAGGAATGGCCTTTGGTTTCGCTCTGAGGTCCCTTTCCGCACCTCTCCCACGCGGAAAAGAGTAGGGAAAAGCGTTGGCCAGAAACGAGAACAGCATGACCGGGGAAGGTGAATAAAGCCGGGCAGGTGTGAGGAGGGTCCCGATTGCCGGCGAAGAGGAGGAGCGGGCTAGGAAAGGTGGGCAGATTCGAGGGGTGGGGACAGCGGGCCGGGGACTGCGGGGACCCGGAGCACGTGCTGGCGGAGGCAGCAGTGGGGGTGCGCAGGAGCTGGGGGCAGCTGCAGGGGGTCGGGGGGGCGGG